AATACGAGAATGACAGCGACAGAAGGGAAACGACCTTTTTAAGTCTCAAATATAGTAAGTAAAGATTAGCGTTACCGATGGCGCATAAGTTTTGTCAGTATGATGAACTATTACGGGAAAATGATTATATGTTATGATAATTCCTTTCAGTCTACCACAACGACACGATATTCCAGGTAATGGAACTACGTTTTGATTCAGCAACGATTCAAGTAGATTCTTTGCAGAACAAGTTTTCTAAATTTCAGCAATAAGTATGGATATAAAATATCACATATTTCGAAATATTTCCAAAGCTTAACAACATTAAAAGTGCAACAACAAAAAGGCAGAGTTCATTTTTATTAAGGCAGGCATAATTGGCTTAGTATTTATTTCAACCAAGTGAAAGAATTAAAGGACCAATATTGCGCACCTTTTATGATGACAAGTGGTCTAAACTTAACTAACCTGACAATAAGCTTGAAATGATTGAAAAATAAATCACACATTCATTTCGTTTTTTAAGGGACCCAGATCGGCCATTAGCCCGACGCGGCGATGGACTAGCTTAACGGTGCCATATATCATAGACCCGAGTGTTGGTAAGTTTTGCGTGTTCACATATTAGAACTACATTCCGTGTTTAGGATTGTATCAGACTGACATACTTTTCTTGCTTCATGTTCACATTAATTACCATTCAGTGTGGTTTTAGTTTCTGTGTTCAGTTTCTGTGATCACCGGAAAATGATTGACTTGACTGTGAGCAAGTCAAAAATGAAAAACTCTGATTTAAGCGTTGTCAGTTACACAAATATGCCTGTGTGTGTTTTTTTAAACAAGTGAGATTAAAAACTAACATGAAGCTGTAACGGAGAAAGTTAAGAAATTATTCAATGATTAAGAATGTATTTTTTCATTGAAGCTACTGAGGGAACAAACAGAATAAATGAAGCCATACAAGATTATAATACAAAGACTTGTATAAGATGGATACCTAGAACAACGGAGACAGATTATGTAAAATTTTCAGCCGCGCAACCACCAATGACAATGGGCACTGTGTAAGTCTCTCTCTCTCTCTCTCTCTCTCTCTCTCTCTCTCTCACACACACACACACACACACACTTCCAAAGCAATCAAGATGGATACCTAGAACAATCAAGATGGATACCTAGAACAACGGAGACAGATTATGTAAAATTTTCAGCCGCGCAACTACCAATGACAATGGGCACTGTGTAAGTCTCTCTCTCTCTCTCTCTCTCTCTCTCTCTCTCTCTCTCTCTCACACACACACACACACACACACTTCCAAAACGCAGAAGTGTACAGATTGTTGAACATCGATCGGCACAATCACTGTGTAAGTTTCTCTCTCTCTCTCTCTCTCTCTCTCTCTCTCTCTCTCTCTCTCTACATCGATCGGCACAATATGTTCAAAACTAGACGCCTTGATGTATTTTAAAATAAATTGTTTTGTGTCTTTAGTTGCCGAAGCTTCATTGGCAGAATTGGTGGTGAGCAAGAGGTGACATTGACCCCAAGATGCACCATGTTTGACGCCTCTGTGACCATACACGAAATGATGCATGCCCTTGGTTTCTTCCACGAGCAATCAAGACCAGACAGGGATAATTACGTGAACATTCTCACTGGGAACATCATTGCGGGTAATGAGAATAAATAAAGTATATTTATATATTAAGGTCAATAACATAATTGTTTGTTAGCTCTCCTGCCTGCCTGTATCTTCCCACTCATCTGCAGTCTGTCTGTCAGTCAGCCGGTCGACTTGCATGTTTGCCTGTCCTCAATATGCCTATGTGGTCCACGGTGGTCCACGGTGCTTTCTCGACTAAACGTGCCATATGCAAACTACTATTTATTGTATCTAAGTTTTCGGTAAACGGTTCAGAGTTCGTTGATGGAATATTGCTTCGCAATATACGGTGATAAAGGTGTTGCTTCACTCAGTTTCGTTATTCTTGATCCTCTTCATAGGTTTTCTTGTTCTATGATGCTGACCAGTACTATATTGAATTTTCCTTGCAAAAACACACTCACACAAACTCACACATGCTTATCTGTGTGTGTGTGAGTGCGCGCGCGCTTGTGTAGCAGTTGCAGCAACTAGATACCTGGTTACAGCTGTTCTGGGACATTATAGTAATAAATGAGCAATTAATGCTCACAAAATCAAACATTTTTAAATCCCCTAAATATATCGAGATCTTGATGACAGGTGTTTATTTGATTAATTTTGTTCTTTTTGTACATATATTTAAACTCTTGTCTTCTTTTTCTAGGACTTTTTCTAAACTTCAATGATATACACTGTATATGATTAGGTATCCGTAAAATTATCATAAATAAAATCAATATTACATATTTATCCCGTATATAAAAACATATGACCCTAGCCTCTAATCTGGTTCACATTTTCTTTTTAAACAAAAAGGATTTGAGCGTAACTTCGATATAGAAACAAACAGCTTCACTATGGATACACCTTACGATTATACCAGCATTATGCACTACCAACCCAACTTATTCAGCACAGATCCAGCCACCCTTGACACCATAACGACGAAAACGACACAAGCAATAAATCCAGCAAACGTGCTTACGGACCTAGATGCCTTGGATATTTGCCTTTACTATGAGTGCACCTGTCCCGGTGAGTATATCAAATAGTAAGGGGAAGANACGCACCTTTTATGATGACAAGTGGTCTAAACTTAACTAACCTGACAATAAGCTTGAAATGATTGAAAAATATATCACACATTCATTTCGTTTTTTAAGGGACCCAGATCGGCCATTAGCCTGACGCGGCGATGGACTAGCTTAACGGTGCCATACATCATAGATGCGAGTGTTGGTAAGTTTTGCGTGTTCACATTTTAGAACTACATTCCGTGTTTAGGATTGTATCAGACTGACATACTTTTCTTGCTTCATGTTCACATTAATTACCATTCAGTGTGGTTTTAGTTTCTGTGTTCAGTTTCTGTGATGAGCGGAAAATGATTGACTTGACTGTGAGCAAGTCAAAAATGAAAAACTCTGATTTAAGCGTTGATGTACGTTGTCATTTACACAAATATGCCTGTGTGTGTTTTTTTAAACAAGTGAGATTAAAAACTAACATGAAGCTGTAACGGAGAAAGTTAAGAAATTATTCAATGATTAAGAATGTATGTTTTCATTGAAGCTACTGAGGGAACAAACAGAATAAATGAAGCCATACAAGATTATAATACAAAGACTTGTATAAGATGGATACCTAGAACAACGGAGACAGATTATGTAAAATTTTCAGCCGCGCAACCACCAATGACGACGGGCACTGTGTAAGTCTCTCTCTCTCTCTCTCTATCTCTCTCTCACACACACACACACACTTCCAAAACGCAGGAGTTTACAGATTGTTGAAAAACGATCGGCACAATCACTGTGTAAGTTTCTCTCTCTCTCTCTCTCTCTCTCACTCTCTCTCTCTCTCTCTCCACATCAATCGGCACAATATGTTCAAAACTAGACGCCTTGATGTATTAATAAATTGTATTGTGTCTTTAGTTGCCGAAGCTTCATTGGCAGAATTGGTGGTGAGCAAGAGGTGACATTGACCCCAAGATGCACCATGTTTGACGCCTCTGTGACCATACACGAAATGATGCATGCCCTTGGTTTCTTCCACGAGCAATCAAGACCAGACAGGGATAATTACGTGAACATTCTCACTGGGAACATCATTGCGGGTAATGTGAATAAAGTATATTTATATATTAAGGTCAATAACATAATTGTATGTTAGCTCTCCTGCCTGCCTACATGTATCTTCCCACTCATCCGCAGTCTGTCTGTCAGTCAGCCGGTCGACTTGCATGTTTGCCTGTCCTCAATATATGCCTATGTGGTCTCCACGGTGCTTTCTCGACTAAACGTGCCATATGCAAACTACTTTTTGATGTATCTAAGTTTTCCGTAAACGGTCCAGAGTTCGTTGATGGAATATTGCTTCGCAGGAAAAGGTGTTGCTTCACTCAGTTTCGTTATTCCTGATCTTCCTCATAGGTTTTCTTGTTCTATGATGCTGACCAGTACTATATTGAATTTTCCTTGCAAAAACATACACAAACTCACACATGCTTATCTGTGTGTGTGTGTGTGTGTGTGTGTGTGTGTGTGTGTGTGTGTGTGTGAGAGAGAGAGAGAGAGAGAGAGAGAGAGAGTGCGCGCGCGCGCGTGTGTTGCAGTTGCAGCAACTAAATACCTGGCTACAGCTGTTCTGGGACATTTTAGTAATAAATGAGCAATTAATGCTCACAAAATCAAACATTTTAAAATCCCCTAAATATATCGAGATCTTGATGACAGGTGTTTATTTGATTAATTTTGTTCTTTTTGTACATGTATTTAAACTCTTGCCTTCTTTTTCTAGGACTTTTTCTAAACTTCAATGATATACACTGTATATGATTAGGTATCCGTAAAATTATCATAAATACAATCAATATACATATTTATCCCGTATATAAAAACATATAACCCTAGCCTCTAATCTGGTTCACATTTTCTTTTTAAACAAAAAGGATTTGAGCGTAACTTCGATATAGAAACAAACAGCTTCACTTTGGATACACCTTACGATTATACCAGCATTATGCACTACCAACGCAACTTATTCAGCACAGATCCAGCCACCCTTGACACCATAACGACGAAAACGACACAAGCAATAAATCCAGCAAACGTGCTTACGGACCTAGATGCCTTGGACATTTGCCTTTACTATGAGTGCACCTGTCCCGGTGAGTATATCAAATAGTAAGGGGAGGAATGACGAGAAAAAGACCATAGGGCGCTTTGTGTTTGTAGCTTTTGATGTACTAATTTATTACTGCAAGATATGCAGAGACACTTGGGTTCCCACAGTTAGAACGATTTGCTTGGTTACAAATTTCACCTTAACAGTAATGCATCAATATTTTAGATCAACCGTTGCGATCAATCGTCTGCCAAGATAACATGATGACCATTAGTTGCCCAGCTGGACAAGTGCTTAGTGTGGTAGGGGCTGTATTTGGAAGGATAGAAGACACGGGGTCGACCTGCCCGTCTCCAAACGCTTTACTGACCAACGTGAAAAACTGCGCCCAAGAAAACACCATCGACAGCGTGAAAGCGAGCTGCGATGGAGCCTCACAGTGCACGCTGATGGCTACCACTGCCGTATTTGGAGATCCGTGCCCCACAATATACAAATATCTCTCCGTCGTTTATAGGTGTAATGCCGCAAGTAAGATACCATGCACGATTTAAATGTTCACAGTGCAATGCCTTTACTATTTTTGTTTTAAATGCAATATAATACCTTATTACATGACGTGTTAAGATGCATCTTTATCTTTCTTGTTTTATTTTTTATTAGAATATTGCAATGGGTAAGAAAGATAGCAATTGTGGACCTCAAACTTGTCACAGTATTTATTTTACCTTTTAAGGAAGTGGCTTCCGATTATCATACATACTCATTCATTTCCTTAGTACGAAATGTTCGCTCCTCTCATTTAATTTGTCTAATTTTTTTCATACTAATACACATGGTCCTTTATTAAACATGAAACTTAAGATTTATTATATTTGAATAAAATCTTAATCTATAACTGCAGATCTTTATCTATAAATGTAATATACACGCCTGCAATATATTTGAATATATCAAATAATTCATGGAGTGTTAGAATAATCGTTAGGGATGAATTCAAATATTCTTTGCTGTCTTTATCCAGACTGTGCTGCCACGGCATGCATGAACGGCGGTGTTGCTGCAGCCGCTCCCTTGTGTTGCACATGCCCCGCCGGCTTTACAGGAACTTTCTGTGAAATAGGTACAATAAGACATTTAAAGATAAAATTAAACTCAATCAGTGGCATGTATAAGAGAGACTTACATTGTGTAGGTCGTAAAGATACATTTATATTTCTATTTATATAAAATAAGACGCCTTTTACTACTAGAAAAGCTGATAATGAACTGACTGATGCTTTCGGTCTAGTTAGTTTAATCTAGGTATACATATATAATCCGATGTGTAACAAAAGCTAAAAGCGTTTGGTTTCATTTAAAAACAACTTACTTTACCGCTATATTCTGCGACATAAAATATAGCAACGGGTGTAACGTGACAGAGAGTCCCCATGATAGAGAGTCCGCTTCCTATTCACTTGTACTGGTAAGCCTCGCCCTAGATTTTGACCCACTTAGATCAGGCTAACTCTAACCATTATAACTTAATGGAAGGAGGACTTTCTGTTACACGGACCCTGTAACACCTGGCTTGAAAATCTTTTCAGCTACAGCTGTGAACGAGTGTGCTACAAGCAATGGCGGTTGCGCCCAGGTTTGCACTGATACAGCGGCCTCCTTTACGTGTTCCTGTAACCCCGGGTTTATGCTGGCTGCCAATGCGATGGATTGTACTGGTAACTCTAAAATTATTCTTCATAAGTTTAAGCAATTCTGCTTAGTGTATTCCTTCTGACAAATTATTGGCGTCACTTAATAGCCTTTGCTTCATCACTGTGCAAAATGCTTGAGCCAAAAATTATTACTAACCGGCTAGAGATTGCTGCAATCTGGAAAAAGTACACACGTGTTCCAGTAACACCGTGGTTATGCTGGGGCCGGATACGTTGGCATGTGTTGGTAAATATACTGCATGTGTTTCAGAAATATACGTAAAAAAATCTTGGCATATTACATAGGCTCATTAAAAGGTTTAGCATCGCATATTAAGGCAAATGTACTGTATTTTATTATTATTATGCGATAAATCTTTTAAAGGCTGGTGTCAGCCTGATTGCCTCAATGGAGAAGAGAGCTATTTTAGAGATAGGCTTATTTCGTTAACTTTTAAGACCATTCAAAATTTACATTACAGTACGAAATTATGTTATTTTCAGATATTGACGAATGTGCCACAAGCAAAGGTGGTTGCGCTCAGGTCTGTACCAACACGGCGGGATCCTTTACGTGTTCCTGTAACACCGGATTTACACTTGCTGCGGATATGATGGCATGTGATGGTAAATATGCTGCGTATGTTTTAAAACGTGTGACGAAATATTTAAACAGACTTAAAATAATTGATAAAAAGGAGCTTCATATGGTTTAAGCATTCTTTCTTTGCTGAAAGATAAAGCGATTTAAAAGTTTCTTTTTTAAAACTTTTTCAGACCATTCAAAATTTACTCTACGATAATTTGTTACTTTCAGATAATAACGAATGCGCCACAAGCAGTGGTGGTTGCGCTCAGGTCTGTACCAACACGGTGGGATCATTTACGTGTTCTTGTAACACCGGGTTTACACTGGCGGCGGATATGTTGGCCTGTGATGGTAAATATACTGCATATGTTTTAAAATATGTGACAAAATATTTTAACAGACTAAAAATATTTTATAAAGAGCGCCACAGTAATGTATATGCGTTCTTGTTACTTATGTATGTGAAGAAGATTAAAAAGAGATGCTCATCTTAATAAGGTTTCAAATTATTATGTGCTACACATTACAGAATTGCGTGATTTTCAGATATTGACGAATGCGCCACAAGCAGTGGTGGTTGCGCTCAGGTCTGTACCAACACGGTGGGATCATTTACGTGTTCTTGTAATACCGGGTTTATACTGGCGGCGGATATGTTGGCATGTGATGGTAAGTAGGCCTACACTATCAGTATCTGAAAATCTTTTAACAGGCTACACCATTTCAAACATTAAAGGGTGTCTTCCTGTTTGCCGAAATGGAAGAGAGACTTATTTTAAAGATGAGCTTCTATTGTAAACTTTTTCAGATCATGCAAAATTTACTTTACAGCTTGAGGTTTTTTATAATTTCAGATATAGACGAATGCGCCACAAGCAGTGGTGGTTGCGCTCAGGTTTGTACCAACACGGCGGGATCATTTACGTGTTCTTGTAATACCGGGTTTATACTGGCGGCGGATATGATGGGATGTAATGGTAACTATACTATATATTTCATCAAAAATTCAGGGTTCAGGTCCGTTGAATGCAGAATATGTTTCATCAATATCTGGAAATCCTTTAACAGATCTATCTATTTCATGCATCTGCTCATTGTAAGGTGTCAACCTCTTTGCTGTAATGAAAGCAAGATTAATTTCAAAGATGTCCTTTTTTATTTTGAAATTATTGTTCGCTGTACAGTACAAAATTTAAGATATTGACGAATGCGCCACAAGCAGTGGTGGTTGTGCTCAGGTCTGTACCAACACGGTGGGATCATTTACGTGTTCTTGTAACACCGGATTTACACTGGCTGCGGATATGTTGGCATGTGATGGTAAATATACTGCATATGTTTTTTTTTAATTTGTGAAAAGGAATTAACAGATTCCAAATATTTGATAAAGAGGGCCAGCGTAATGCATTAGCCTTCTTGTTATGATGGAGGAGATGGTCATCTTTTTTTATTCAGTTTTTTACGTTATACAGTACAAAATTGTGTTAATTTCAGATATTGATGAATGCGCCACAAGCAGTGGTGGTTGCGCTCAGGTCTGTACCAACACGGCGGGATCCTTTATGTGTTCCTGTAACGTCGGGTTTGTACTGGCGGCGGATATGATGACATGTGATGGTAAATGAATACACTGATAGATTTTTAATGTATCACAATTAGCCGCCAATCCTTATATGCTTCTAGGAATATACTCATATACATGCATTCTCTGCTAATCCCTTAAGTGCTTGTCGTCGTGAAGCTTTTTATCATGTCACATTTCTTGGTGATCACAACATCGTACAACTTGTTGCCAAATGGTCTGTCTAAAACTCCCTTTAAGGAATGGATAGAAACGCATTGCTGGAATCCAACTTAAACTTTAGTTTGGCAGTCTTAAAATATCAATATCTGCATCTTTTCACCAATTGTCCAGGGTGACCCCCCCCCCAAAAAAAAAAAAGAAGAAAAAAAAAAAAAGAAAGTAAGAAAACAGAACCCATAAAATTTTATTGAATCATAAAAAAGTCCATCTAATTTCAAGGTTTGAACTTCAGTCTGTGTACGATCATGTCACAAAGTTTAGGTTATCTTGGTCGTTTTGTTTGAAAGTGTGACGTTGAGATGGCACTGCATTCAACGGACCTGAACCCCCCAAGTTTTATCTGTTCGGATATCTCAAGGATAATGTGTACCAGAACAACCCTCAAACGATTGGTGAATTGAAGGCAGCAAATCACAGAAAAAAAATCAGGGAAATCCCCAAAGAGGAATGTGTTCGAGTAAATGACATTTTTGAGCGACGTATGCAAGTGTGCCTCCAACACCGCTGAGGTCATTTGAAAGCATATTTTGGAAAGAACATTTTTTTTATGGAAACCGACCAAGATATTACAAACTTTGGGGGGTGATCGTAGGCGGACTGACTTTTAAGTGCAGCAAATTTCTTGAAATGTGATGGACCTTAGTAGTAGTTAATAAAATTTTTGTATAACAATGTATATTTAAAAAGACTAATGTAGACCAAGAGCTTAACTTGATTTTTATATAGGCCTACCTATACTGTATGTGTCAAGCGAATGGAACAAAAATGAAGTTTAATTGGTGTATGTGTATCAAAATCATCTACAAATTCAAACGTGTTTGTCTGTGATATTATATTGTTTTCTATGTATTGTCATTTTTGTGAATTTATGAAATTAGAAATATGCTCAGTGCATGCATGTATGTTGATAGACAACAATGGCTAACTTAGTTTAAAGTTACGAGACAGATGAGGCCTAGCGGTATAATAAAATTTATTTTCTAATAAGCTATATAAGCTTATGTAAGGTTGCTCATGGTCTAGTAATAACGAATATAGACTTTGTTGGAAGAACTGCTGTGTACAGTTGGTAATATAAACTATTTACTCTGTGTTGGCTGCTCAGAAAAAGACGGGAAACATTTCTTTTATACAGACGGTGAGACCGTACCTGTTATTGTTTTAAAAAACTCTGATTTTTTTACACTCCTTTGTCATCTATCTTGCCTAGATGCCACTGAATTTGTTTCCTTATATTTATTTGTGTAATGTTTGTAAATGTTTATAAACAGTGACTTTATGTATCTATATATTTTGATCCCTACGCCTGTCCAAGTTATCACTGTCCAACACATCTGTTGTCCACCTTAGCTAAAGTAACTGCGAAACCATTTGTTTTACTTTACTTAGTAATTTAGTAATAATTGTTATGTCTGGAAGTTGAGGTAGGTTATATCTTTTCATACTTAATGAGGTATTATTAAAACTACATAACTTTAATTTAAGAGATATACGGAATATTGCCAGTGTTAAATCAGCTGTGGTTGTCAGTTGGTAACAACTCAAAATATTTAAATGGTGCTGACATAGTTGTTTGTACTCATGGCAGCAAACCAAAGGAACTTGTGGAGATGAAAACATTTACTTGTATTAATGTTTTTTGTAAATATTAATACAATGTTTTTTCTGTTTGGTGTCTGTATATTTAANATATTCTGAGAATACAAATAACGACGCACTGTTTGATTGATATTTGTTTTATTGATTGCTATACCAAATGAATGCCTGAAATAACCTTAAACAGATTTGGTAATATGAAGTATATTAATTCATGACTTTTTTTTACATTTCTACGAAGTATTCACAATGCTTTAATATTTTGAGAGCATGGATAAAGACATATTGTTAGTTTGATACATGTTTCTGTGGTTAAATTTGTGTTTCCAGCTGTGTACTGACAGCATTCCTTTACTTAAGCAGTTTTTTTTTTTTTGGACTGTTTTTTTTTTCGCCCTCTCGCACCGATTTTGGGGTACCCAGAGGATGTCATCCATAAAAATAAAAAAGTGTGGCCTTATACAGTACAAAATTGTGTTAATTTCAGATATTGATGAATGCGCCACAAGCAGTGGTGGTTGCGCTCAGGTCTGTACCAACACGGCGGGATCCTTTATGTGTTCCTGTAACGTCGGGTTTGTACTGGCGGCGGATATGATGACATGTGATGGTAAATGAATACACTGATAGATTTTTAATGTATCACAATTAGCCGCCAATCCTTATATGCTTCTAGGAATATACGATATCTTGTACAATGAATTTAAAAATCTACTCATATACATGCATTCTCTGCTAATTCCCTTAAGTGCTTGTCGTCGTGAAGCTTTTTATCGTGTCACATTTCTTGGTGATCACAATATCGTACAACTTGTTGCCAAATGGTCTGTCTTAAACTCCCTTTAAGGAATGGATAGAAACGCATTGCTGGAATCCAACTTAAACTTAAGTTTAGCAGTCTTAAAATATCAATATCTGCATCTTTTCACCAATTGTCCAGGGTGACCCCCCCCCCCCCCCCAAAAAAAAAAAAAAGAAGAAAAAAAAAAGAAAGTAAGAAAACAGAACCCATAAAATTTTATTGAATCATAAAAAAGTCCATCTAATTTCAAGGTTTGAACTTCAGTCTGTGTACGATCATGCCACAAAGTTTAGGTTATCTTGGTCGTTTTGTTTGAAAGTGTGACGTTGAGATGGCACTGCATTCAACGGACCTGAACCCCCCAAGTTTTATCTGTTCGGATATCTCAAGGATAATGTGTACCAGAACAACCCTCAAACGATTGGTGAATTGAAGGCAGCAAATCACAGAAAAAATCAGGGAAATCCCCAAAGAGGAATGTGTTCGAGTAAATGACATTTTTGAGCGACGTATGCAAGTGTGCCTCCAACACCGCTGAGGTCATTTGAAAGCATATTTTGGAAAGAACATTTTTTTTATGGAAACCGACCAAGGTATTACAAACTTTGGGGGGTGATCGTAGGCGGACTGACTTTTAAGTGCAGCAAATTTCTTGAAATGTGATGGACCTTAGCAGCAGTTAATAAAATTTTTGTATAACAATGTATATATAAAAAGACTAATGTAGACCAAGAGCTTAACTTGATTTTTATATACCTATACTGTATGTGTCAAGCGAATGGAACAAAAATGAAGTTTAATTGGTGTATGTGTATCAAAATCATCTACAAATTCAAACGTGTTTGTCTGTGATATATTATTGTTTTCTATGTATTGTCATTTTTGTGAATTTATGAAATTAGAAATATGCTCAGTGCATGCATGTATGTTGATAGACAACAATGGCTAACTTAGTTTAAAGTTACGAGACAGATGAGGCCTAGCGGTATAATAAAATTTATTTTCTAATAAGCTGTATAAGCTTATGTAAGGTTGCTCATGGTCTAGTAATAACGAATATAGACTTTGTTGGAAGAACTGCTGTGTACAGATGGTAATATAAACTATTTACTCTGTGTTGGCTGCTCAGAAAAAAGACGGGAAACATTTCTTTTATACAGACCGTACCTGTTATTGTTTTAAAAAACTGATTTTTTTACACTCCTTTGTCATCTATCTTGCCTAGATGCCACTGAATTTGTTTCCTTATATTTATTTGTGTAATGTTTTTAAATGTTTATAAACAGTGACTTTATGTATCTATATATTTTGATCCCTACGCCTGTCTACGTTATCACTGTCCAACACATCTGTTGTCCACCTTAGCTAAAGTAACTGCGAAACCATTTGTTTTACTTAACTTAGTAATTTAGTAATAATTGTTATGTCTGAAAGTTGAGGTAGGTTATATCTTTTCATACTTAATGAGGTATTATTAAAACTACATAATTTTAATTTAAGAGATATACGGAATATTGCCAGTGTTAAATCAGCTGTGGTTGTCAGTTGATAACAACTCAAAATATTTAAATGGTGCTGACATAGTTGTGTGTACTCATGGCAGCAAACCAAAGGAACTTGTGGAGATGAAACCATTTACTTGTATTAATGTTTTTTGTAAATATTAATACAATGTTTTTTCTGTTTGGTGTCTGTATATTTGACAGATTTCTTGTCTAGTTTCAACTCAAAACATCCGACTTTGCCCTCTCGTTCCCCGCTGTATTCTGCACCATTAAATATAAAAACCGGTCTTGAAATCTTTTTTTTTGTCCAGTTTCTGCCGTGAACGAGTGTGCTACAAGCAATGGTGGTTGCGCCCAGGTTTGCACTGATACAGCGGCCTCCTTTACGTGTTCCTGTAACCCTGGGTTTATGCTGGCTGCCAATGCGATGGATTGTAATGGTAAATACCATGTAAATAAGGCGAACCTAATTAACTCCAAAATTACCCTTTACACGGAATTCCACTTACTGTTTATTTTGTCATAAATTATCGATGTCAGTCGATAGCTTTTCTTCATCCATGTATAAAGATCAAGGCAAAATGCTTAAGCCAAAAATTATTCCCAACCGGCTAGAGACTGCTGCTATCTGGAAGAAGTGCACGTGTACACCATGCGACTACTCAGCACTGAAATCCAACATCACTACTTTAGACCAGTGTTTTTTATAATGGATACCCTGCAATTCGCTTAATTGTAGGCCCTACAATAGTGCAAAGTTTTAACGCAATGAAATTAAATTTTTGCTGGCGCTTCCGTATCCACTTGAAATGTGTTTAATAATTTTGCAAAAATAAATAAATAAATAAAAATTAAAATAAATAAATAAAATAAAAATAAATTAACAGACTAATAGGAACACCATAAGGTATGAGCGTTCTGGCTATAATGGAAGAGAAAGAGGAACTTCTCCTTTCAAATTCAAAACTTGCTTCACAGTACGAAATTATGTTATTTTCAGATAAAAACGAATGTGCCATAAGCAATGGTGGTTGCGCTCAGGTTTGTACCAACACGGCGGGATCATTTACGTGTTCTTGTAATACCGGGTTCACACTGGCGGCGGATATGATGGGATGTAATGGTAAATATACTGCATATGTTAAAAAATCACGTAAAGTATTTAAACATACTCAAAATATTTGATAAAAAGAAGCATTATATCGTATAAGCATTCTTTCTTAAAAAAGTCTTCTTCTGTTAACTCTTTCAGACCATTCAAAATATACTATACAGTTCGAGATTGTGTTATTTTCAGATAATAACGAATGCGCCATAAGCAATGGTGGTTGCGCTCAGGTCTGTACAAACACGACAGGATCATTTACGTGTTCTTGTAATACCGGGTTTAAACTGGCTGCGGATATGTTGGCATGTGATGGTAAATATATGTCTTACTTTTATGTGTTTGTTATGGTAAGAAGATGCAAGCAACGTTAATGAATGTTCATTTTAAAAGCGTAGAGTGATATTTGATCAGTTTTACATGAGAATTCACAGCAGTCCATTGATGTCTCCTCCATCCCAGTGTACTTTCATAGTTCCATTCATAACAAGAAAAAAGGCAACAAAGAATATCGATGTTCGAGATTCGGCCAAACAAGGCCGCTTTTATTATATAACCCCACTATCCTAATCATTTCAACAATAATAACAAAGTAGGAAATTGTTGCCTGTATTAAATGTTATGGCCTTAGGGATAAAAAAAATATATATCAAATATTCAATAAGACTCATCATTCTACAAATATGATGTGACGAGTCAGCAAAAGTTACTATTAACAAACAATTTTGCATATATTTCGTTTGTGGGGTTGCAAAGAGGCTGCTGTGCAGATAAAAATATCATTTTTTATACCTTCAGATGTGAATGAATGTACTACAGCTAACGGCGGGTGCGCTCAGATTTGCACGAATACTGTTGGTACTTTCGTGTGTTCTTGTAATACTGGGTTTGCCCTTGCAGCAGACTTGAGGTCTTGTGTTGGTATGCCCATTGCTCACATTGTTCGAGCACAGACTAGCTGTTTTAATGTCAAGATTATTAGTCATTGAGTTGACTGTTAAAATGTTTACATTTTAAGTTTTACCGATATAGATTATATTATGTAGGTTTGTTTCTATTACCTTATACCTGCTAAATGAAAAATATAGTTTTGTACATGAGGATGTTTAACAGACCCCTTTTTGTCTTTAAGACGTCACAGATGTAGATGAATGTTTGAATTCTAATGGAGGTTGTGAACAATTATGCACTAATACAGTAGGATCTTTCCTATGTTCCTGTCGGTCCGGCTTCGTGCTTATAAACAGGAGAGCCTGTGCAGGTATGATACATGTGTACATCAGTCAATTTTAACGAACGTTTGCCTTAGTTTGTAATTGGTTTGAATCAATTTAAAAAACAGAATTGAAACCATTGTCCTTTCAAAGGTACCAAGAAGCCCTAAGGTACTCTTAATTGTGGAGTTATAAATATTATATTTTTTTGTTGAGTTGATAGATCTCTTGATGCATAACTAACGCCCTTAGTAAAACGATATGGTATGGTAGATTGGCAATAATACAATAAAATTGACACTAAAGGCTAGGGTAAATGTATGTCCGAACAAATTGTTTCACCTGTTTTTGAATTGAAATTTATCAAAACATTATTCAAATGGACAAAAATCGTAGAGAGAGAGTTCATGCAAGGGTACATCATAAACAGTTTTTTCGTGTTTTTTTTTTTACGTTATTTGCTATTTCACAGACATAAACGAATGTTCTGTGAATAATGGCGGCTGTAGCCAAAGATGTACCAACAATCCCGGATCTTTCAGCTGTTCATGTGACACTGGATTCAGCCTGGACTCCAATGGAAGGACATGCTCAGGTAAAAAATATTTACAAATTTGGATTTTCCGTTTTATTCTACATAAGCTCTAAAGTGTTTGAAAGATAAAAAGATGTCTGTAAGTTTGGTAAAACTCTACATATCATATCGGTTGAAACTAAAGACATACATAATTTTAAATTTGATTAAAAGATCATTCCAATTAAAACACGAAGACATAATTTAATGGTTTAGAGATTTCCATGTGCAACGACACACAGGTATTTGTCTCTTAGGTGACCAAACAATACATTGACTGTTATTAAAAGAAATATTGTCTTACCAATTTGTTCGACCTCCTTGGTCTTACTTGTTAATATGGTTATGGGCTTATAATTCAAGCTACTCAGCCACCCGACCCTTGCCTGACTAACAATGGCGGTTGTCAACAGATTTGTACGAACAATGGAGGCTCAGCCCAGTGTTCATGTAATGCTGGTTTTACCTTGGATAGCAACGGGATGACTTGTACTGGTAGGTTAAAACTTACGTTCCTAAAGCCCAGTGGTAACTGATTATCGGCTGTCGCAGTAATTATGTGAATTTTGTAATTATTAAGATAGATTTAGAAACTAGAAATCGCGTACTGATAAAATATTTGAACTCTAAAGTCTGATTATAGTTTATCACTTCAAACATTAGACCTACTCTCCTGCAGTGCTTCTGGCTTGAATCGCCGTAAAAAGCGTTTAATTTGTATATATTCAATTGACCCCAAGGCCAACTGTTAACCAACTACCATAGCTATTACTGGAATGTAATTGATTAGATAAATTTAAAACTAGCCATTGTATGGAAATGTAATTTTAAAGATGTAATATCTTATGGTCACTTCAAACGTATCTGTTTTTATGAAAAGAATTACGTTTGATAATTTCCTTTCAGTGGATCAACCACCAAATCCTTGTCTAATCGGAAATGGCGGCTGCCAACAGATTTGTATGAATAATGGGGGAACAGCCCTGTGCTCATGTAATGTTGGATTTACCTCAAACAATAACGGAGTGACTTGTGTTGGTAGGTCGTTATACATGTGCAAGATACGAATTTATTATTCATTATATACCTTTCCTTCCGTGAGCTTCATATATCAGTGTCAGAATTCATGTAGGCTGCGAAATGTTCCAAAAATGTTCCAAACAAGCGATTTTTGCTTGTATTGGTGCAGTTTATTAAATCAGTATTATAATCTAAGTATTTTGATTGAATTATATTGAAACTAAAATAAAGGAATATTTTTCAGCCAATATACCTCCCACAACTGCTCAGCCAGCAACAACCAACCTGTTGCCAAGTAGCAATCTACCTCCGGCATCAAACACACCTCCGGGAAACAACCAGGCACAAAACCCTTGCCTGATAAACAACGGGGGTTGCCAACAGACATGTAGAAACAACGGCGGGATACCGCAGTGCTCTTGCCTTGCTGGCTTCTCCCTGAACCCCGATGGGAGAACTTGCACTGGTAATAACATTATATTTCTACATTAAAGTAACCCCCTTTTGCGTCGCTACATTTACCTTTATTACATCTTTGATTAGATGTAACTTTTCAAACCAAGCAGAAGCTTACTGTTTTACCTTAAATGAACCAATTGCTCTGAGCAGTTGAACTGAAGTGGTGAGCATTGTATTAATTGAACCTTTTTGGTTCTCGCTAGTGCCAATACTGCTTAAGTAAATGTCATTTGTGTAAATGACAGTATTTCTTATCGAATTTTACACATTATTTGGTAAAAGGTATTTAGCTAAATAAAAATATGTCAGTGCTTCCATGTTCCCATGTTTCGCACGGTTCGAACATAGTCAGCTCATCATTGAATAATCTAGTTAGACAGCCAGGAAATGGCGTAACCAACCTGAAAGCATTTTTCTGTATCGTTTTATACATAGCATTCATCTTCATAAACTCAAGTCTCGCGGACCAGAACATCTTTGGTGGTTTCCCGCTGAATGGTGTATCTTTTGAGAGCTGTTTAATCATATGTCTCCTGACCACGAGTTGCGGGGCACTTTCCTTTGACAACCAAAACGCTTGTGTTCTTCACCCTGTAAACACAGCATGTGGACAGACGTTCCCACAAGCTGGGACGACACTTTACCGGTTGACCTCGTGTCCATCAGCTGATGCAGCACCACTTTCTAACATTGGATTCTTCTTTCAAGTTATAAGAGCACTTTTTGGTGAGTTAGATATTCTGAATTTTATTAATTTCATTGTTAATTAATTTTCCATTCTAAAATACAACATTCTATATAGTGAAGCGGTCTGTAACCTGCTTGCCTATAATTGAAACTTTGATATCACAGTCTTTAGTTTAGTTGAGTCACAAGACAACCAAAATAATTAATCAGTGATTTAGAGAGTGAAACCTTGTCACTGCGCTTTTTTCAAAGTAAAAAGTCGCTTATTTACATGTGAGTGCATTTCTCATAAGTACTAATTAAGTGATTTGCCCATCGGCACTTTCATCTAGACTTAATATTTCGACAACTCCGCTTGTCTGAGTAAATGTAATAGTGATCAGTATTTTATTTACAGGTCTTTAGAAACCTTAAGTGTCACCAAATGTTCGCCACGTCCTCCAGACAGGTACATACAGATGAAGTGTCAAGTAACCCCGCAGTAGTCACATTGAAATGGGAGAGCGCTTTTAACCCTTGTGTGTATATATAGACTCTTGAATCTGTTGTAACTTCTGGTATGGAGGAAATGTCTCCAACACAGGTGGATCTTTGATTTCATCAATTTACTGGCATACTTGTGCGAACTTTACCCGTTAAATAAATGCAGCCGAAATAACTGATGTGTTGAATATTCCTATTCACCAAGGTTGATTGAAGGATTCACCAAGGTTGATTGAATCCTATTTTTTCGTATTTAATGCTTACTTACACCTTTCTTTTGAACAATGAAAATAATCCGTTGAAAGAAATAACACCAACAAATTGTATTTACTCAGCCGTTTACTAGACAGTTAGAGCCAAAATATTACAAATTATAATCATTTTTGCTATTATACATGTACATACATTGCATTTTAGATCATGTTAAAATTCCCCCTGTTACAGTTCACATGGTGCCCATCTTACATTTTAGTTGTTTTGTGAATTTTTAATTGGTATTTTAGGGTACTATAGATAAATAATTTTAAGGGAAAAACAAAGACGCCAGGAGACAAAAGGACTCAAAACATTTATGTTCAATGTAAGTTAGTGCCCGGGTGAAGGCATTCATTATTGAGATCTGTAAGAGAAAGCAAGTACAAAATAACGTTTAATGGTGTAGTAAAAGTTAAGACTACTGATAACCTATTACCGCAATTAAATTGACGCTTAGTACCACTACTAGTGTATTGAAACCCCACGAGCAGTATTTACAAAAATAAAAAAAAAAAAAAACGAGAGGAAAAAAACACTCTCTGAAAGTTAAATTACCTGATAATGTACATAGAGAATATACTTATCTACTTTGAGCAGTTCTATAATTATGTTTTAGTTTATATAAAATAAGGAATAAGGAAAAAATAACAAAAGCAGTTCACCGGCGGCTAGAGGTGTGGCAAACTACGCCATAATTACGCACTGCCACTACCCCATATCTTCATAATGTGACTCTTTCTATGGTTTTCCAAGTTGGACTGTCGCCGATGCAATAAACATTTCAGTTAATTAAAAAAAAAGATTTCAGTGTCGATTCGCGCCATGCATGTAATTACGCTCAGAAGAGGCATATCAAAATTTGGTGCTTTCCCCTTTCTCCGAAAATGCTTCATTGCTGTAACCATCTGCGTCGCTGTTTTCCAAGTTAAAGTTAACCTGACTATCTTTCCTAGTCCCGCTTTTATCATCACCCTCTTGGCCTGGCAATACCACAGGAAGGACGAAGGTTTCCAGACCACCTACAAATAATGATCACAATTCGCTGTTTAGTGCAATCAGGTGATACATTTAATTCATTAACAATCGAAGTGCATGCTTATGATTTCTTCGTTTTACTCTAAATTATGAGAGATAAGTAGCCCGAAATTATCACGTAATATTCTTTCGGTAAACTTAAAGCTGCTTGTAAATTGTTACGCCAAGGGAAATCTGGTAAAGAACCACACCCGGTCTTAAAACGGACAATTGATCTAACAAGGCAGTTCACTTTTGAAATGGACAGGCATAGTTATGACAAAGCTGATAGAAGCAGCGTTATTTAAACAGTCTAAAAAATTAACAACCAATTATTTGATGAGAGTGCACAACATATGCAGCTGCATATAACGTTTAATGGCTTTATCACCATCATTATGTTTTAAAAATATCCTACTTATACTTTGAATATTCAGAAATTGAAACTATTACAGGGCTCCATACTTTAAAAATAGATGAAAAAATAAAAGGAAGTCTATTTATAAAAAAAGATTGGTGAACAGTGGTTTGTATTGATGTAAATTTGACATTGGTCTTCACGGGAATACAGGAAAGCTCGAACAAGACCTGTAAACCTTCCAGTCAAAATCTAATTATCACATTTTTATGAATCTGCAGGTATACCTGTTTATGGTATGTAAAGTCATCTGATGAAAATCTAAATACCTATCCCCATCCCCCCCCCCCCCCCCCCACCAAAAAAAAAAGAGAGTAAATAAATGAAAATGAAAAAGGAAAGCATGATAATGATAACATCAGAATATATGATCAAATATGTACTTAATCCCACAATCTGCGTTATTGTTCGGTATATATTTCAGATAGAGAGTATACCTGAACTGTTCATCCTGTTTTTCCCTTTAGCGTTAATGTGGCCAGCGCTCCAGCCGTCTCCCCAGGCCTCAGACGGGTAGGCAGGTTCACCGTGCTTGGGGACATCCAGTCCTGAAAGATACAGTGCAAACCGTGACTGTGTATTGGATGCCGTCTTGTCTAGTATTACTAAATATTGTTACTCTTTTAACACATTCAATCGAATGCTATATACAACCGAAAAAGCCATACGTTTCAGGGCCAGGGCATAATTTTTTTCATAGTTACTTCAACTGTAAATATTTTTCAATTAAAAAGAACAGTGAAAAAGACGAAACTATCTTCAGCTACGATTTACATAAGTTACTATAACTCACATATTTATGGACTGTATAGTATATAAGTACACACATACAAACATTTAAATACACCGTTATTTTAGAGCAAGTTTACCTCTTATTTCGAGTTCTTGTTCGACTCTTAACAGCTTAAATGCCTTTAAGGATCCAAAAATGATCGCACTGATGGCTGCTGTCCAGAAAATGATCGCAACAGCGCCAAGCATATTTACGCCAAAACCCTAAAATATGAAATACATTTGTTGAAATAAAAGTACACCAAGGAGCACGGTGAAGAGCAGTCAGATAATATCCATTTACAAGCTACAGAGTTACATAAGTGTTTTACAAATCAGCATCCCGAACCCAAACTTGCAAAGAACGTGAAAACATCACTCGTCTCATCACTTGAACTTACCAACCAAGCTTCGGTGTTGCTAGGGTTGTAGATTATCCCGTCTATTTTCAGTATAGGAGCCAGAAGAAGACCACAGAGCCCACCGCCACCGTGTACTGAAAACAAAGAACGTGTACTTAAATCAGTTAAATAAACAGGCCTTGTGCCAACCATGTTTTGTAGCGCCCCTTCAGCAAAACGTGCTTGTCAAGACAATGATTTTTACGCTGTGGGGACAGCTCTGCTGATCAGTGAGCTAATAGTTCGCTCCTAGAAATCTACAGTATATCGCAAAATCGACTTTGCATTGTCGGCTAGCTTAGTTTAGTAGTCTAGGCTAATAGGTCCAAAAAATTTGAGGAAACTGATCCTTGGTTATGTCTATAATTTGTCTGAAATATAAACGTGACGCATTTGAATTATTTAAACATAACATAACATGTCGGTTTCTACAAGTTGCGTCTAATTTTTTCACAACCGAATACCTGCTACGGCGTCCAAGGGGTCGTCAATTTTCATTTTCTCCACACCCCAGCTCCAGAGCAGGTACGTGATGCCGGAGATCAGACCCAACACACAAGCTGCCCACGGCTCCATCACGTTACAGCCAGCGCAAACGGCAACCTAGAGACATACTGTGCATTTAGAGCTGAACAATGAGAAATGTAAATACTTTTCACATTATTATTATTATTATTATTATTAATCAGCTTTGGGAAATTAAAATGAAGTAACACGTGTATCTTATAGTCGACTTCGTCTTGTAGGCTACACCGCAAATAATCATCAGAATCACATATTTAGTAAAAGCGAAGAAAAATGATAAATTTTAGGAAACCCTTTTTGCATATAATCACCTGTAGTATAATCTATTTTATATAAAAATGTCACTATCTGCTTTTTTTAAAAAAATTGCATCTTTAAACAATCTAATATAGTTTAGTTCTATTTATCTCCTCTTGATTGTGCCCCCTAATTACCATTCCGGTTAGAGCACCGTTAATCGTGCTCAATAACTTCCAGTCGTCAGTGCTATGGCGATCACACTGAAAAAAAAACAATTTAATGAACAGAGATGATTTCATACAAATATTTAAATTTCACTTGTAATGAATATTTGCATCAGTAAATAGTTTCAACATTAATTGAATGGTGGTTTGTTTTTTCGTTTTATATATATATATATATATATATATTATTATTATTATTATTATTATTATTATTATTATTATTACGGCAGAAATTACAAAACCAACACATTGACCATACACTTACATAGTACACAGCAGGACCAAATTTTTTAGCCAACAGTGCGGTGAAGGCAGCAAAGCTGGCACTGATGATGGTGTTCATCATGGCGTGGGATATAGCTAAACCGTCGCCTGACTTGGAGACTGAGGCCTGCGAACCTCCGTTGAAAGCGAAAAATCCGAACATCAAGATGAATCCACCTAACGCAGCCAACTTAGAAGAAAGAAGATATAGTGTGTACTACATTAAGTGAGGATGAAGGATAATCTAAATGAAAAAAATCAAACCATTGGGTAGTTCTTTGGGGACTATTTTAAGGTACATGTATCAGCTTAAGATAAATCGACTTCGCATCTCAGTGAATCACTTCAAAAACTCGAAAAAAACTTCAGTGCCTTAGCTTGAACTAATCTGTGATCTTACTGAGTAGGATAAACGAACAGGTTGTACACATTTCACAAGTGAATTACTGAAAAGGATTTTGAAATAATAAATGAGCTTTTAAATTCAGCAAACCCTCAAAAATGACCATAAGAAAAAATTAGAAAGAACTCAAAAATGAATTTACAGGCACATTATGTCCGGAGATAGGTTTCGGTGTACCGTCATCATCAAATCTACCAATGCGGGCACCAAGAAACGCTGCCCCAACTAACGCTGCAGTCCCACCCAGCAGATGGACTACGCCGCTTCCTGCAAAGTCCTGAAAACATCAAAATTTTTCATGAAAACAAAGCAGCTGTTATACCTTCAATAATTACATACAAGTAAAACATAAACATCGTTTGCAATTGCTGAAAATAATAATACAATAAAAAAAAAAAATATATATATATATATATATATATATATATATATATATATATATATATATATATATATATATATATATATATAAAGATACAATATCATAAATATAAAGATTTTATATAAGATAAAAAATATGTTATATATTTTCTAATGAAATAAAAGAAAAAAAATTGAATGTTTGGCATTGCTTAACATTAATATGGTCAAATGTAAGTGACCAACATTTTTCCAACATATTTTTACCTGATACCCCACGCCGCCAAAGCCAACTGCCAGCCAACCCTTCTCTGACCACGCCCAGTGGGTTACAATCGGATAGACAAATCCTAAGTTAGAATATTTATATGGTACATTTTACAATGAATTAGGAACAATGGAAATTTGGTCAATTTTTGCTCCGTTTACACCATCTCCTGGTGACAAAAGCCAATATCTTACTTGTATTTACAAATGAAACCAAACAAAATTTATAAATTAAAAATGAAGTGTTGTTGTCCGGCATACAGACATTTTTGCTTTTTACGTAGATAGACTTACATAAATAATATGATTATGGATATTCGTATGCAAATTACCTGTAATCACGGAGCTATAGAAGAAGTAAGCTATAAATTCACATCTCTCTGCCATGGCTCCTGAGACAATGGTGGCAGCGGTAGCTGCGAACACAAAGTGGAAGAACCAGTGACTTAGTTTTCCGTCAGGGATGCCCTCGCTGAACCAGTAGCGCCATCCTAGAAATGCGTTGTCCGGCTCACCAAACGCAAGCGCGTATCCAAATCCCCAGTAAGCTATTCCTGATATATCTAAAATATGGTGCAATGTTTTGTAAAATTCCTCCGGTATTTATTTTTTTTTTAATTTATCAAAGCGCTGCGTCTAGAGATCGATTTACTGATCCTTTATTGTTAACAAAAATAAAAAATAATAATAATAATTCGGGCATCTCAACAACGAGCCCTATTTTATGTCACTGACTTGGGTAAATTAGATTTATCGATTTTGTGAACAAAAACATAATAATAATAATAATAATAATAATAATAATAATAATAATAATTCAGGCATCTCAACAACGAACCCTATTTTTATGTCACTGACGTGGGTTAATTAAATTTGTAGACATCATTAAAAGCCAAGCAAACTATGTAGAATTTAAGCAATGTGAAATAATACTAATAATACATTAACAAAGTACGGTTCAGCATTTGCATGCAGTACACGCAAAATTTACATTATAGAAGAGAGGGTACATGAGGTCTTGGGGTCTTTGTCAGGTGCTCTTCAATGTCCTGATGCACCTCAGTGACACGTTATTTACGGCGCTGGCGTTTGTTTATTTTAAGGTGACTCAAAAAGTAAAACAAAAGTTGAAATTGATTAATATCGACTATGAACTACTCTCATATGGACGTTTCAACTGAAATACATGTATCTTAAAGTGGATGTTGTGGATTATCGCCAGTATTAGAGATCTCGAATTACGGGGTGTTCCTCTTAAATAAAACAGTTTTTAGATTTTGAAAATGGCATAAGTTTCATAAAGTCGTGTATAACGTCAACGTGTTGTCCATGATCAAGTTGAAATGAGGACTGTTTTTCGCAGACGCCTTAAGTTAAGTTTTTCAGTGAGAATAAGAAAAAATGCATTGCAATGCTGAATGTCTACTGGGATAGTATGCTTAAACCGATTCTTTAACGCATGTGACTGGAGTACGTACAAGCATCAAGCATGTTCTTGATGAGAATGTTGGTGGTGTTCTTGCTTCTTACTGCTCCGCACTCCAGTAAGGCAAACCCTGCCTGCATGACTGGAAATGGCAGTTAAATAATCAATTAAAAAAGACTGATCACAATGAAGAACAACTATATTTATCATACTCAACATCTAGTAGCAAAACTCTTATCAATATTTTGAGTTATCCTCATAACGTTTTCAAAGAAAGCTTGATGAATACGTGGGTCCTTTTTTTAAAAACTTTTTAATTATCAACAATATGGCATGGATGCTGTTTGTCTATTTATGTATTTTTTGTTCAAGAGTTATTTTTAAAATACAAAAGTATTTTCAAAACTGAAAAGGATATTAGGTTGGTCTTTTGTCCTATACTTACAGAAAATTATGATAGACATAGTGAAAAGAAAGAAGACATCAACCGAAGCTTGAAGTGCTCTCAAGACCTCTTTGGTGTCTTTGTAATCTCTCAAAAGTTCTGTAAGGTTGAACTCAAGCTGATCTAATGGGTCCGCCATTTCAGAAAGACAGTCTAAAGTCCAAGTCCTGAAAAACAAAATAATATGCCTATAATTTCCTAGGTCAGGATAACCTCTCAGTATGTTGCTTATATGCAAGTCACAGGCGGTCACACTGTCAGGTCGTTTCACATGCCGGTCAAAGATGTGTAGGGCTGTAGTACTGTACATCAATATAGTCATCTAGACCGCATACATAAATCACACACGGCGTCATGTACATTCTCTTCCACCTTCTCATTTATGTGCCGTTAAAAGTAATTTTAAACTAAAAACATGGCATGAAATGGGCGACCACTTAATGGTAAGAAAAATTTACCATTGAGATTCCGACGTTTAAACGAAAGTTGCGGTATTCATTTTATATCTCAGTGGAACGGTCTGCTTTTTGCAGATGAGTGTGCATATGTGGCGTTTCCCAGTGATGGTCAGGTGTAAATGTGTGGATTTTTTTCAGGGGTATTTATTGGACAGTTAAGTAGATCTTGACAGGATTTGGTTCGATCCATTTTTGGAGTGCCTTTTGGTACATCGGTTTTCGCCATTGGTTTCATTGTAACTTCACGGAGCACCATCCGGTACCATCCGCTTGTCCGGGAATATTTTTGCCTAGAGCGTTTCAATGCACAACCACATATAACTTGCATACAGAACAATCATCCCATAAAGTTCTTTAGCCGACTAAATATAAGTCCACAACAGAAATAAACTAAATTAACAGAAATTAACAGAATTTTAATTTTAAAAATTGATCTAGATGAATTACAACATGCCTTTGCTTAATGGTAGCAGAATTCACCAAGAAAAAAATTCAAATTGTTTACATTTTGCTTATGTACTTTTAAGAATAGATGTTAAAGGTAGAGTGAACATGTTATTTGCGGAAAATCAAGACACCAAAAGTCGTTAAAGATGAAATGCGTTATGGTCTCTTGAGAGCGATCATCGCGACTTGTGTTTTGAATACTTAAGCCCTCGCAGAGAACCACGATATTATAGATGGATTGGACGATGTCTGCTTTACGATTATGTGCACAGGCACGTAAAACCTGATATGATTCTTTTGTATATGCAACCATTCATGTCCAGAAGATGGCCAGATTACGTTATCGCGATAAAAAATGACATTTTTGAGACGATCTTTTCTGCGCCTTCGTTTTTCTTTCGTAAAAGCATACTTTTTCCATGTTTGAAAATATTATAGTGAAGGTATGTAAAACGAAAAGAGTTTCATAACTCAATTTTGAAACAAAATATTTTTCAAGGCCGTATCATTTAATAAGCCTTAGAGATTTATCTGAGACAGACGATTCGTTCACCCAACACAAGGGGGTCTCCCCGTACCCGTCGCCGTGTATCCCGCAATACATTTGCATAATTTAACGTCACGGACGAGCTGGCCATTTTATGGCCAATGCTGATCGGGACTCAACAAGAGTAAAATCTGGACTCTATAATAATTTTATATAACATACACGATATGATCTTAAGACCCATTAATTAAATAACTATATGTAAAAAAAATATTTCAAGTATCAGCCGTGTCACATCCGTTGCCTTATGTTATATCTAATAAATCCATTTAAAAGTAAAACATCAAATGCGCACTTTGTTGTGTACTCTCCCGGAATACTTATCACTTTTTCTACCAATCGCATTTGAAGAAGAAATAAGCATTTACTTATACTTATACTTACAATTAAATACTTTCAAATCGTCCAAAGCGTGCAGCACGATAAAAAATTCTGCAATATCCTCTTTTTTCTTGGTACAACAACGACCATTTATGACAACATTTGATATCCGCATCAGTCGAGCAACTTCCTTTTCACACCACCATATCCAATGGAAAGTGTGCTATATATATACGAGGGACACTGCATAGATTCTTAACAGCCGGCCTCGGTCCACGAATTATATATAGCGTGCAAGTTTTAATCTTTTCTTAGTGCGCTTTCAACCGCACGTTTTCTCCAAGATGGTCCAATGCCAAATCAGTAGACGTTATAATTTAGGACAGCGTTCAGATTCAAACATCGCACCAGCTGGATCGATCCAACTCTACGGGGGATTCTGGCTCAGCATTATCAGCCTAATTGTCTGCCACGCCTCCTTGAGTAGCTACAGTTAATTAGTTAATTACTCCCTAGTAACTCAAGGAGGCGGGTGAGATATTTTAGCCAATAACAGTGTTTACACTTCGGGGGAATCTCCTACGGAGTTGGATGGATCCAGCCAGTAGGATGGGTTAATATGAACACTCCCTAAGATATTTCATCAAGGATTCATTAACCATTGTTAGGAGAATCCGTTTTATGGCACTTTTACAGCCAAAATGAAGAGTTGTTATCATTTTAAGTTAAAAACGTGCTGAAGCCATATGCAGACTATTACATTAAGTAAATAATAACATCTAAATAATATACATTTATGTTGCCATTTTAGTATTACTTAGTAAGCACGGCTATCAGACATGGTTATTAAAATCTTAACTACATTACTGTCAAGGTATGGGTAACGTTTAGAAAAGTTTCAGTGTGGCATGGAAATCAGAAAAGAATTGGTAAGCCTGAACTCAACCTCGGTTACGCCTATGCTTGATATCACTGTTATAAACATGTCCACTTAACCCTTTGTTGGACATTCTGCACAAGTACAATTCAGGTACAAATATAGATTAAATGAGGGTTGTAAAGGTTATTTAGTACATATATCAAAATGAAAGACTCAAGTTTTATGACAATTAATATAAAGAAGATTCATATGTGTGTGTTGAACAGTTTAATTAGCTATGTGTTTGAAATGATCAACAGAGTTTCTTTTGTCGATAGCTATAGAAAATTAACTGATATTTACCAGCCGCTATTTTGTCAGTTTGTTAGGGGGTTGATTCCCTCTGCACATCACACTCCAATTCACCCCACAGGTACTCAAAGGGGTTAGTATCAGGGTTCAAAACGGTTGATCCATCCACAGCAGATTGCGTTTCTCCAACCAATCTCTCACCAGACAATTACTGTGAGCTAGGGGGGCGACACGATGAAGGTTGTAGTTACCAGTGAAGTCTCCTCTTGCCATTATAGTGCGATGACTGTTGAGAATACCATAGTAAAGGGTTCCATTAACGTTCCAGAAAGAACAGTTTACTAAAACTATGGGCATAGAATGCTCCCCAAATAGGGACTGGCCCAGCACCTTAAGTAGTGTGCTGCTCCAAGGAAACAGATACCAAGGATGCACACATTATTCCAAGAAGCATTCTCAAACAAGTCTACGGGGGTAGTCTGGGGTGTTAAAAAAAACAAAAAAACAAAAAACTATCCGTTGATTTGTCAGCAAAGACAACTGACAACTTAATGCAAGTGATAATTTGTCAGGTTTCGGTGCCTCTGGGGCCACTGACCGAAGAGTCTTCACATTTTATGTTTTGTCATAACAACGCATTTGCTCACATTTCACATCTGGTCATTCATGTGTTAAAGAAACGTTCTGAGGAAGGAACAAATAATTTGAGCCCGATTCTAACCCTATTTGGCTCCAGTGAAATGAATTGGAATGTGCTTTGCAGAAGAGAATGAACCTTCCAATGAACTGGTCCAACTCCGTCAAGCTCTTAAAGGAAATTGCACAATATTCCACAGAACAGACTTGCAACCCTTGTTGAAAGCATGCCACGCTTTACAGCACCCGTTAGACGCACACACACACTTCTTACTCTTAGACATGTAACATTTACAAAGCACATTCTGATGGTATTGTGTATAAATATGGTGACATTTGACGGTTTTTTTTTTTTCAATTTTTTAACCTTTCTTTTTTGAACTGAGGAAAGCAATCTGGAACCTCAGAGGGGTGCATGTTTTAAACATTAACAAATGGTGAAAAATATGGATATCTACACTGGATTTTTATGCACTATACACGTATAGAGAATTGGTATCTGGAATGAAAGTACTCATTACAACGGATTGCAGATATGATGTGATCATTTGTTAACAAAAACACATGGAAGTGGAGGTGTCACAACCTTTTTAATCAAGAGTGTGCATTTTAAAATCCAGCCGCCTATCAAATAGTAGCACATTCGGTCGTCACTTAGTGGATAGCTACAAAAAATAAGGCCTATAAATGAATAAAATGTGAAATTTCGTAAGCCTCAGGTTTACTAGTAAATGCCTGAGATATCAAATCTTATGTAGGCATTCCAGCCTCATGTTTTAATCTACAGAACAACTTGATATTGACACTTAACACCACGCCTCAACTGTGCATGCATCCTTCTGCATTATCTATGTTACAATGATGACACGTTCCGACCACATGCCTGACGAAATTCAGCTCTAGCTGCCCCTGCCTTTCAGTTACGTCAGAGGCATGAAAGTGTTGGTGACATGAGCTGCGACAAATACGGCGTGTTAAGATTAGTTCCGCCTCGGAAGATAAAGGAGTAAGTTATGGCCGTCAAAAAACATTTTGGTGTTCTTCATGTGGGTCAACTTTTCATGTGAGAAATAAATAGAACAAGACAGCAAAGCTGGAAAATTTACATACTTAAAAAGTTATTCCCATTGCTCAATTTTACAGTTTTTTTTAGTTCCAGTAAACAATAACTTAAGCAAAAAATAATCCGATCATTCTCATTTTCGAAAGGAACCTTTTTACCAAAGTCACTCAGCAAATTTGGAGAGAACAAAAATAAGCGTTGGTACTTATAAGGCAATCGCTGGCAAAAAAGTTCAAATGATCCGTGTTTTGTGTCGATTTTCCATTTTTTTTAAACCAAATAAAGCCGCATAGCAAATTTGAAATTTGAAGTTAAACAAACAGAACTTGGCACGTATGGCGTAAACGTCGTATATATATATAGAAGAGCAATATATATATATATATATATATATATATATATATATATATATATATCAAAATTAATCCATGTTTATTTTCTAAAGAAAATATATATATATATATATATATATATATATATATATATATATATATATATATATATATATATATATATATATATATATATATATATATATATATATATATATATATATCAAAATTAATCCATGTTTATTTTCTAAAGAAACTGACTGGCCTTTTAACCAGAACAACCACTCAGTAAATTCGAAGTGAAACAAAAATATGGTTTGGCAGTTATGGGGCAAAGAACAGGCGTGAGACGACACATGCGACAACGACGACACGGCCAGGCACGGACCAAAATATATACAGACATAGATATTGTCTGTATGTAGGAATGTGAAATCCAAGACTGGTAAGAGACAAAGAAACTGATGGACTGGTAGCTCACGTGTTGTGAACACCTGCAAAATAAGGAAATTCTACCTTAGAAACGACTCGGAGTCATCCGGAATAACCCCTATCAAGTGAGATTTCATGGGATTTATGAAGAGCACAGAGTAAAAATAATGGCAGATTTGTTATTGCAGTGCCGTTACGATTAAAAGGTGACAGAATTTACCCACGCTCAGCTCTCACCTTGATCGGTTACTGAACCTAAAATCTACAGAAAACGATTTCAGAATATCACACTGCTCTACCATAGAGGCAAAACCGACCAATTTTCCCATACTTACCAATGGTTAACGAATCCATTTCTACATTTAAAGTTAGTCCCTATTTTTTTTCTAAAAAGTTTGATTTTTTGTAATTATCTCTTAAGATATTATTACAGAGTATCGCCTTCTATGGTGGTCAGTGGTCCGATGACAAGCACAGATTTCAGAATAAATGCTTTAACTGCCATTTTTGTGGAAAATAGAATAAATTATATTTCTATGAGTTGTTTACAATTTATTGTGAAATATACATCTAATATGAAGAGTTGTATTTTAATGAATTTCATAAGGTCGCCATGCTCTACGACATATGGTGATTTCATGAAATTCATTAAAAACGCTAAACCGATTTATATTTTATTTTATTATTATTAATATTATTATTCTTGCACCATGGTAGACTACTATGTGGTATTCCAAAGTAGTTTAATATGTTTTTTTACATTCAGTTACCAATCAAGGTGACAGCCAGGTGTGACTTAACCCACGGATATATTTGTCAAATTTTCTTAGATTCTATGGAATAACAGTCTATTGCACGACAGCACAAATTCATCATGTTTTGCGTGTCAATTTTACATTGCTAAGGCGACATGCTCGAGGTTCAGCAATAAATTTCAGATGATTTCCATCCTTCATACAATAACCTGGCCATTTAAAAATATTGCTCTTCTTTAAACAGTGCCCCAGTTAATTATAAAAACATTGGTCCTGAGTAAATGAATCTCCATGCATGGTATTTTTATATTTCTATATTTGTTTTACAAATTCAGTTTAAATTATAGTAAATGGTAAATTTAACTAATATTGTAAATTTAACAGTAACAGTAAATTTAACTAATATTGTCAAATTATTTCAAAACTTGTTTTATTTTGACATAAAAAAAGACTTCATTCTCCTAATATGTCTTTGACAGTGAAATTAAGTCTTCAATGATACAAAAAGCTTCAGGTGGCATATATCCTTATTTTACATATATCCTCATCTGATAAGCTTGATTTTTCCTCAAATCCCTGAGCTGTTTTGTCATTCCTCTTCATGTTTTTTCTTGATGTAAGCTTGTTGCTGCAGCATGCGTATGCCACGTGTGGCCATGTCAAAATCATGAGTTCTCTTTGTAAAAGTTCCAAATTTCAAGACATTGTTTAAAATCTTGTCATTATTCATGTCATCGAAATAACATTCTCCAACTTCACATGGTCGAAGACGTTCTTGTTCACTCCTTAGAATGCTCCTACGAATGATATCTTGATCACCTTTAGTGTCTCGTTTAAATGAAATAATGTTAGCCCCAGGTAGATCAAAGTACATAACAAAATAGCTGAAAACAGACAAAATGCTTGATACATACATATGCAAATATGTGAGAACAATGGCAGTAGTGATAACTTTAAAAGATTGTTGGTGGCTTAGTTAAATTGTAAAATAAAAACAATAATAATAAATAAACACTATAAATTGTGAAACACTTATCATCTACTGTGCTTTGTTTATAGCTTTTGACTGATTATAAATTTGGATAATCACAGTGGATAGGGACAACAAGTTATGAAATTAATTAGGCTGCTATGTCTCAGCTTGTCTATACTAGTAGCATTATGAAATGAAAGGGAACCCTTTCACATCTGTGATTAAATGATATATATATATAATATATATATATATATATATATGATACAATTTTACATACTTTCCCTTTTGAACTGGTTCTCCTCTATATTTCATTGTGTATGGCAATGGTCTCTGTCCAAGATTTTCAAATCTTTTAATTAACCCTCCATTCTTGAACACAGCTTCAGCATATCTTTTGATACATTCAGCCATTTGGGTCTAGAATGGATGGATACATAGAATCATGCAACATAACACTGAACCACATATAGTCAAGAGTATTTGCTTTCATGAAAATAATTTTCTGAAATAAAAACAAAATTGCACATGATAGGCCAAATGTGTTTTATCACTTTCTTTCACAGCTTTTCCCAGGATTGGGGGTACAGGCAAAAATTCAGGGAGTCCAAGCCATCATTATTAAAAAAAATAAGCAGTCTTTGAAAATATCGGCCATCTGGTGATGCCGGCAGCCATCCAAACTACAACTGGACGGTTCGCTGGGAAAAGCCTTGCTTCTATTTCAACAGTATAACGATAAGTATGGGCTTTGGTACTTTTGATTGTCATTGGGCGAATAAAACATATCACATTAGGAAGCACAGGTGAAAGTTGGTGGTGGTAGTTGTTCTGTTTTGCAAACCTCCATAAAAACTGTCCCCCTGAGTATGAGGTTTAGGTGATATAAAAGCAAAATAATTGATTAAATTATTGATATCATTGATATTACTAACACATCAGCACTACTTTTAATATCGTCGGGTCGGTAGAAATGTTGGCTTGTGGCTCTTCTTGACAATATTACCAGCCAAGAAGAGCCACTAGCCAACATGGCGGCTGACCTGACGATAAACAAAATGTGCCAATTTGTTAAGTTTTATCAAGGCTGTTAATTATTTAGTAATATATTTCGCTCTTATATCAGCCTATTTTGTTTGGAATGACCGTTTCCTGTGTTTACTTGTGACTGGACTCATTATTTTCAAGTGCATTGCGCTGTGTTGCGCTGTATTGCGGCATATTGCACAATTCAGTCACACCGCTCCTCTTGGGTACTGTTTTGACCAAAATTCTATCACTTTGCTTAATTCACAAACACAAAACTCTGCCTTATAAAATCCTTAAAATCAAAATTTTAATTGGGTGTTTATGCCTAGCTCCTCTTCTTTTCATATGCTTAATTTCAAATGTCTATGATATTACATGTATTTAGGGTGCTAAAATCAAATGGGGCAGCTTTTGAATAACTTTTAAAAGTGCTGTGTCTGAAAAAAAAAAAAGACAAACATGGTGTCACTAAAACTTGAATAATTTTTTTTCTGAATGAGATAGATTAAAATTTTAACGGTTTATTCCTACCCTAATATGTTATCTGTGTATTAAATTTCAAGTCTAGCTCTAGGGGAAATCGTGTGCACGTTAGTTACATGTAGTTACTAGTAACTTGTAATAACCCTCCACCACCTCCAAGTGACCATACATCAATCAGTTAACGTGCACGGGCCTTGACTTATGTGAATGTACGCTACCTTGGTCGCAGGGCGAATTATCATAGCAATCTCGTATTGAGGCATTTTGAGTTGACTAGCTGCACATGCACTCCGACAAAACCTGAAACTGCATTACTCCTCGCCAAGCGGAAACAAGTGTGTTTGCGTCAAAAATAAGCGTGGGCTATAAATAAGCGGAATAAAATAATCAAAAATCGTTTTGAAAATCATCAAATAACCAAAGACATCAAATATGTAATGAACAATAGCTTTGGTACATTCAAATAAATTACATCAAGTGTAATGTGTGATGAGCAATGAGTAATTATTATGGTTTGTGAATAATTTAACATACTTTTCCATTCTTGTATATATCTTATTCTCCTTTTCATCCGGGCATTTGGTCGCCGGTGCAAGATGGCTTCTTTTAGGTTTGCTGCTGCTGCTGTAAGTGCGAAATATAAGTAATTTCTTGTTTAAGCGTTGTGATTTTACAGTTGAATGTGTCAGTTGCTATGGAAGTCCTTTAAATTTATAAAAACAACCGTTTTAGTTGTGACATTTTTATTTTAGTCCTTTAAATCCAAGTTGCAATTCAGCTTTATAAGTTTGAATTACTCTTACAGTAGGTAGGACTGGGTTAGTCTAGAACCAAATTTGAAGACTCGAGATAAAACTTAATTTACTTAGTGAAATTGATCACTGTGTACATGAAAACATTGTATGCATTTAGTCTTATCTGACAACTGTTCATTTACGCATGTTCGAGTAGTCAGTTTATTTCAAATTATCTGCCATGTGGCATTGGTTCATTTCTGTCCTGATATTTACAATTTCATATACATTGCAATGTAAGGTGCTTATAATTTTTGCCCTCGTCGAGTTTTGGTTTGAAAGGTAGTCTTTAATCATTGAAGAATAAGAAAAATTAGAACATTGAGCCAAGGAGTGTTTCAATCAATAATGAGTGCTTATATAAAGCCGCTTATAATGTACACCCTGTATATGTTTTTTTTCTTGTTCTTAGTCAGTAGAGGCATGTCAATGTAAAAATTTCACAGTTGAACCACATAATTAAACTAGCATTTACTTCATGAAACTTTTGTTCTAGGTACGGCAATTCAGCACATCGGCAGCCAGGAATGGGGAGATTGTACAGGTAATTTTGTATCAGTTACCCCTTGCCTAAATAAGTGTTAATGCTGATGAATAATAAAACAAGTATAAATAGCCACTTTGACACTTTTTAGCAAGCTGCACATGGAATATCAATTTATTTCTCTTAAGAGATTTTAACAAAAAACCAAACGTTTAGGGAAAAAACCCTGGACTAACTTTGAATGCAGGAATGGGGTCGTTGACCATTGGTAAGTATGGGAAAATTGTCGTTTACTCCAGGAAAATCCAATTTTTGGTAAAAACGAAGAGTTATTATGACTTTAACTTTGTAGCTGATATTCTTTTATTTTCATTTTATATATTTTTTAAGATGAGCATTTCTCCCTCTAGGCTCCAATTCAAGTGTTTGGTATAGAAGGACGTTATGCACATGCTTTGTACTCGGCTGCTGTGAAGCAGAAGAAGTTGGATGCAGTTGACAAGGACATGCAGACAGTTCAAGTAGGTAGACGTTATCCATCAGGTCTTACGAGTAAAAAAAATGGAAACCCTTTAGGATTATCTTTGTGATACTTATTATTATTATTATTATTATTATTATGTATGGATTTTTTCTATTTGTGTAGATCATAAGTGGCAATAAACTAAATTTTTGTCATATTTAATAATATAATTATTTTTTTAATTAGTATATATAAATTTTTTTTACAGAAATTAATAAAGTCAGATACCAAATTTGCTGAGTTTTTGCATAGCCCTTTACTAAAGAGGTCTGCTAAAACGGGTAAGGGCATTTTTTTCTCTGCATTTCTTTTATTCATTTAAGAATAAAAAAATTAATACACTGCTCACATAAAAGAATTGTGCTCAGTTTGTTTCTTCTACTAAATCTAAGGAACAAAAAGAACTGTGATATAAAAGTGATTTCTTGTTGAGCATTCCAGAAACGACCATGCGTAAAATATCATTTTATTGCTTGGAAAAAGTGAATGCAAGAGAAATTGTGTGCAGCTACAAGTCCAATCTTGACAGTGGTGTGGATTTGATAAAGCTCACAACATTACAAAAGAATGTTTTGTCCTTTATTTTAGAAACCAAGTCTACACTTTAGTCAAACTACCTTTACTATAATCATTTTTTTCATTTTTAGAGTCATTAAGTGCCCTTCTAAAGAAACAGGGATTTACAGACATTTCTGTAAATTTCTTTGGTAAGTCATTAAATTTTTATTATAAGATGAAAGGATTTATCGATGAATAATTGCCTAAGAATTTGTCCACCATCAAAGAATGAAAAATATATGCATATGTTTATAATTGCAAAGAATCTCAACTTACCTTGGGGGGGGGGGTCAAATTTTTATTTTTTCTTGCATTTAATCAATAAGTCATTTTTGGGAAATAACTATGCTTTTTTTCCATTTTTTCAATGGAAAATATGGCTAGTGCTCAATTTGTACATACTGACAATGGATAAAGTACAACATGAATTTAAGATTGTTTCCTTCTAATACATGTGCTGTTTGGCAACCTATAAGTGTCAGTTTTGTTTGTTAATAAAACTTTTTTAAGTGTTAAATTTACCCATTTTCAAACACGATTGCCAGAGAGTTTTTTTTTCGATTAAATTTTCTCATACTATAATATTACTTATGCATATTTCTTGTCTTCATTATTTAGAGACACTAGGAGAAAATGGAAGGTTGGCAGAAACAACTGGAATAGTTGAAGCCTTTTTGAAAATCACAAGTGCAGAAAAGGGAGAAGTGATGTGCAAGGTCACAACAGCACAGGTATGGTATTGAATTATATCATTAAGGGCATAAGGAGAATGCTGGTTGTGAAGTACTTCATAGCCCAGATTTTGATTTTTAATTTAGTTTTCTGTTTATACATAATGTCAGCTTTAGCTTAATATGTTCAAAGCACAGTATTGCCTTGTATATTGGACTATTTTTTAAACAAATTTATCAACCAACATAATCGTCTATCATGTATGTGATCTCAAATTTTAATGTTTTCTTTTACAATATTTAAATCATAATGTTTGGGAATAAGAGAGCTTTTAACAAAATAGGTAACTTCCAATTGAAAAATTTGATAGTTATAGAATTTGTGTAAGTAGCATTTTTGAAATGACCATGCTAAAAGTTTTTTTTTCTGCATGGAAAAAAGAAAATGCAACAGCAATTGTTAGCAGCTACAAGCCTATACCTAATAATAATAATATGGGTTTGATAAAGCTACCAGCTACTGTAAATTCTGGTTTAATGATAGAAAGGACATTAGGAGAACATGAAGGAAGTTCTAAACTGCTGCCAGTTATTATACAGTGATGTTGAAATATTTAAGTACTTCAAAACATAATTTACTTTTGTTAGCCCCTGTTTGTATTATTTTTTTCAGAAATTAGATGATAGACAATTAAAGGATGTCAAGGCTGCACTGCAAATGTTTTTGACCAAAAATCAGGTTCTCAATCTAGAATTACAGGTAGGTAAACTTCATGAGTAAAAATTGGTGATTTTTGTAGAAAATGTTATCTAAATTTGTATTTTATTGCATTTAATACGTATGCATTCAATAATCTTGTCCTATGAAGTATATTGTACTTCGTGGGATGTTAAGTTGAATGCCAAAGAAAACTGTGGATTCCAATGTGACCATAGATATTGTTGATGGGAACAATTTCACCCCACATACAGACTAAGTTCAAGTATGAGCTACATCCTTTGTTTGACCCCTTAGTATCAATTTATCATTTTCAATGTTGCACTTGCATTTCTTGCCAGGGGTCATTTACCTGAAATTAAGCATTGCCAATTATTATAACTATTATAACTATTTTTCTTTTCTATTTTTGAGATAGTAACTGATAGTTTTACACTTGATCTTTTGTTTAAGGTTGACCCAGAGTTAATTGGAGGGATGACTGTTAGCATTGGAGACAAGCATGTAGACATGTCCATGGCTACCAAATACAAGATGTACAGTGATTTAGTGAAGGAGACATTGGCGTGATTGAATAGTATTCAAGTTTGTACATTCAACAATAACAGTTTCTATTTGTGTTGAAAAATCAATTGATTCTTAATACATAAACTCTTAGTGTGTGTTGCACCAAGTGAAAAAACATTAGAATACTTTTCTGAAGTGGAACATCATACTTCACCAAGTAGTGTACTAGTATAGAAAGGGACCTGGTTCATTTTCTCAGACTGTTGCAGTTTGTTTGATCAACATGCTGTAAAAATTTGAATAAAATCAAATCAAATAATTATATCTGATATAAGATTCTGTTTTTATTGGAAAATATTTAAGTGCTCAAGGAATTGTTCAGGGATTAACATTTCCATGTTTTTTGTTATGTTGTGAACTGTGGCAATGAATCTCTGTGCTCTTCCATGTAAATGTCACCATTTTCAGTGATTCGACAAACATAACAAAACTTGAATTTACATTTTGTTTACAGCAAAGTTACTGCTTTCCCTATTCTTATATCACTCAGTCTTCTCAGAGTTTCAACTGTCTTTTCAAAACTGACAGTCTTGTTTATGTTCACCCTAAAAAGAAAGAAGCAATACTCCGTTATTATGTAGTTGTTTACTACAAATTGTCACAAAGTAGGAACAATGCACAAAATGAAAATAAATAAAATCATAATGCAAAAATAATTCATCTACATTTATAATATTTCCACCTGGGACTACAAATGCAATGGGTTGAAAAAGACATTGGCCTTATCTATTTATTACTGTAGGAAAAAAGAAATACCTCAAAACATTATGAGCAACTTTATCCATAAGATCCAACAATATATCTTGATGCTGTTAAGGAAATTGCAAATGGGCACTAGCAGCAAAATTTGGGAATTGATGTTTTGGAAATGAAATGTACTAAGAAATGGATTTATTTTATTTTATGGAAAACAAAAAGGCAGACAAATCTTAAGACTGTGTATTAAGTAGACCTTTCATAATGATTACTTAAAGGATACGCTGATACCGCCCTTGCTGTCCTGCTGACATGGTCCACACGTGTTCAAACAGATAACTAACACTAGCACCCTTCAGGTAAAGCATTTCAGAGTTTGGTGGATCAAGCTTAAGAAGAAAAAATGCTTCTGTCAGACATATGCAAAGTTTATATTTTTTATAGTCCACGTGACAGACATGAATACATGACCTCATCTACCTGTTCCTGTCAGGTCTGTTTAAAAGAGAACTCTTTTATATCAAAATCAATATTTATGATTTTGGTTACCTTGAAGTAATCAAGTTGAAATTTATAATGTCAAAATAACTGACATAAATATTAACGTCAAATTTCCTTAAATCTACAAATAATACTTTGCTATTATCTCATCTAAATCCCACCTGTAAATCAAACTGGGATGTCACCCATCTTCCACCCACTGCAAGACTTGATATGATATCATATTTGCTTGGCAGTGGATGTCTCATCTCATCTACTAGAATCCTGCTGTCTTCTTCACTTGTGAACATATGAACTACAAAACAACAACTAAAAACACTTTCTAACATGTTTCTAACACTTTGTACATCAATTATCAAAAGCCCTCTAAATGCTATTTATGTTTGAAAATTTTTACTGATGCACTTAAAAAATGCATGATTTTTAGTGAGATGTATTGGGGTTTATCTGCTAGGTTTGTTATACACTACCTCCATTGTCAATCACACAATCAACTCCAAGGCCACCAGTTTCATCTAAGACTGCCCCTACCAAAAAATCACTTTTCCCACTGAGTTCTATAACCTGAGCTGAAATTGAAATACAAAACAAATATTTCAAAAATATACTTTTTTCACATGCTCTAATCCAAACTTTTTTATCCACCAAACAAAGCACACAAAATAATAATAATAAAAAAAAAACAAATTTAACTTTTAATACTTCTTAAAAGAAGAGATGTTGATATTAAACTAATCGCTAAAAAAAACTATAAATAAAAAGCTCCTATACTTGCCTGGTGCTGGCACTAAACTTTCAAGGTATCTCTTTTCCTCCTCATCACTGGCTGTGGTAAGTACCTATTTTAAAAGAAATTTAATTTCTTTCAACTTTACAAGCAAAGGAAATTTCCAAAATAATGTGTCTCTATTATTTTATTTTTGTCATAATGAGCTATTCAATCATATTAAAACACTATATTTCTTAAAGTCAGTATTTCAAACAGTACTCACACTGTATAAATGGGAACTTAAAAGTAAAAATTACACCTTATTATCAATCATTTAAGCTGGTATTGGTGAAAGTTTGAGGTACCTTAGCTCCCCAACATATTGCTAACTGCACAGCCATGGAACCAAATGATGTTGCCCCATCGAGTATAAGAACTGTATCTCCGCTACAGACATGAGCATTGTAGTGCAGTGCTGTGTAAGCCTTGATGCCATCTTTCAATGTTGCTGCTGCATTAGAAAATTCTATACTGTCAGGAATCTTGACTGAAAACAAAAATGAATTTGTTTTTGAAAATAAACTTTTCTTTGGCTCAAGCTAGCAAAGTTATTATGAAGCCAACTAACCATTTTTACATAACAAATAAGTAACAGATAGACCAAAAATTTAAAATAAATAATCAGGTTTGTACCTAAATTGAATAATCTTCAGCTTTTGGGAAATATCATATACTACCTTTGGTATAAAAAAGTCCTAAAGCCATTTAGGCAACCCGCATCAACAGTGTAACTTTCCACCATGCCAAATATGCTCTGTGGCTGAATATTAGACAAGTATCCTTTTTAACATCCAAATCTCCAAATAAGAAGAGGGTCAATTATATCTTATATAATGTATAAAACTCACCAACATCATATTCATGAAAAACACAAAATTCTCCACATCCTGACACTGTAGAATCCAATGGCAGTAGTCCTTAGGAAAAAATGTGTAATAAATATCAAACTAATTTAAAAACAGTTATAGAAAGTTTGCATATGAAAGCCAAACAAGTTTCTATAATAAAATTAAATTAATTTTGCTTTAAAGGTTACTACTATGACTTCATGGTATCATGGTAACAAACGATTATTACTCGATCTTTTCAATGGGCAAAATTATTATTCTTTCAGATACATTATTTTGGAATCATTAACAATACATTTCTGTGTAGCATTTGTGGTGCTTCTACTGCATATAATACAACCAAAGGGTAGCCTGCTATCCAATTTTGTTGCTACCACTCAATAGAAATGTTTTTATTTTGAGAAATTATGTCTTATAAAAATAGAATCTGTAAAAATTCAAAATATTCCCCACTGAAAAGATCACTTCATTGGAATAATTATGTGATTTCATAATTGCTAGCCTGCCAACTGTCATTATCTTCCCTAATATGTCACATACCTGCAACCCTGTCTCCTGAGGTGACAGCTGTCACAGCTTCCCCTGTCTCTATCACAATGCCGGCAATTTCTTGGCCAACTGGGTACTCAGACTGGGGTGTTTTCTTAAACAATTCAAGGAGTACCTGCAATGAAATTCACCAAAATTTATGACACTGAAAATAAAAGTTTTTCATTCTATTCATTTTATTTTCTTTCTTTTATTTAAGTGTGTTGAAAGTAATTAAAAATTTTACTGAAAACAATACAAATATAATCAAATCATTTGACTACTTTTACATTATTTGACTTACCTTTGAATCAATTAATGACAGTGCACATGCTTTGACTTGAACTTTTATACTGTTGGCATTTATAGCTGGGCAATCAATCTGCAAACATTCAGTTTTTTCTTTTAATTACATTCTTCCTTGTTATTCACTTGTGTACACGTTAATTCTATATGATAAAGTCCAGGTTACTAAGGGGAATACTTATATATGTTTTTCATAATGGTTGCTTCCCCCCTCTTTCCCCACCCCCAACTCCACAAATTTGCTGCCTGACTATTACAATAAATACAATTAATTTTATCAAATAAATAAAGCAATCGTAAATTTGGCAAACAGGCCTATTAAATAAACGATAGAAATAAATTCTTCATTGCTCTTGGAATAAATACATATTTTGACATACTTTTACTAGTACAACAAATAACTAAAAAACTTTGGTGCGTGTTTATCACCTATGTCACGTGTAAACTGGTACAAAGATTTATATTATTGTCACAGTAACGTACATTGTCATGACTCGTGTAAAATGTTCAATGGGGTTTGGGGTAGATGACATTTATCGGATAAAACTTTACTGACATTTTCACTGACTGTAAATTGCGGCCTCCCTTCGTCTCTTGCAAATTTCTGAAATATACCTCGCATTTTGTGATTTGCTTGTATGTATATATATCAAACCCGCGGTGAAAACTGCATAACACCGCTGACCGGTAGGTGTTGTCATTTTAGGCAAAGCCGATCTTTGCTTTGATAAAAGTTTCGACAAGATTGAACCCTCCCCTACTAATTATATAGGCATTATTCTTAATAGTGAACGATAAATTTCAATAAAAAAATATTTGCCTTTAGCACAGTGATTAGTCTTTTATAATTCGGTCCTTGTATTGCATGACACAGATGTTTAAAACTGAATATAAAAATTAGATCACTAAGCTAGCTATCCCACAATGCACAGGCACCTGCAGATCTTATGTTGAATTTACATCAATTTTGTCAAAATTCCTCATTGCAAAGTCAAATTTTTTTGATGAAACTAAAGCGGAAGAACGAGCCTATGACCAAGATACAAACATTCTTGAGTAAGTGACGGTAAGGGACCGTGCTGAAGAACTGGAGTAGATTCCAAGTTGGGGGCGGATTCCTAGTTGTAATAAAAAATACGGTCCCTCGGCTTGGCTGCCTGATTTTGCAATATTTTACAAATGATTGATTGATTGTACTCCAGACCGAGACTGCACCGCCATGTGTTGAAGATTATTTTGGTTTTTTTTTGTAAGTATGATGATCATTGTTAATTACAATATTCAGGATAAAACTTCTTGGTGATGAAAACTTGTCCTAATTTTGATTATAAGATGATAAGATTTAGATCTATTGTAATTATAAGTGTAAAGGCAGTTAACAGTAGCAATAGGTAAGCATTTGATGTAATTTGTAATGAAGTTTGTACTGTCTAAGTGACAGAAAACTGGTATGAAGGCATACAAATTTTGTTGTTGATAACAAACACGTGTTTACATTTAACATTGCCCAGGACAAGTGCAGCTGAAACATCTGCATGTTCATTATTGCCAGTATCATTTATGCTGTCCATTTTCATTTTTTATAGTTTTTTTTCAAAATCATTTCTCAGATATTTAACATTAAACCCTGTATTTTTTTCTTAGATATATCTAATCCTTCCACAATGGTGCAATTAAAGATGCATTTGAAGTTACATATTTGACATAAAACCTGACCAAATGGCAATCCATGCCAAAAACTTTTTAGACTACTAGCCATTTGGGCAAGCAGGGTCTAAAAATTCACTACTCTGAACCAAAAACACTAGATCGAGTACAGGTCATTCATTTAAATTGTTTCCAAATTCCAGGTTGGTTTAAATTTAAAAAAAAAAAAGATATATTCAGGTTTTCGATCATAAAAGGATTTTCCCACACTCGCTGTGTTTAAGCTGTCACAGCAGATTTGAGTGATTAACCTCAATTTTGAAGCAAAGCTATGATGTACTATAATTTTTCTAGACAGCAACTTTTTGGGCTTGAACTGTGAAAGTCATGTGCTTTCATATGTGCCTATACACTATGCAAATAAAGTAAAACCAGTTGGTAATCAGTTCCATTTTACATATCACTCAGTTATCCCATATATTACAAAGCTAAAGATGCAGTGCTCACTGTTTCTTTTTTCAACGGAGTTATGAAAAAAACTTTGCTAATGAGATGGTCACTGCCCCACTTGTTTTATTCATTAAGTATTTGAATTTTACCCCTTAAAATAATGTGTTGATTTAAACATAGGAGGAGCAAAAAGGATTTTGATTGACATAACACTAAATCCATGCAAAGAATATATATATATATATATATATATATATATATATATATATATATATATATTGGAT